GTCTTTTTATCTTCTTATTTTAAATATGGGCGGAAAAGTATCAAAAACAGAGAGAACTAAGATTCCAGCTGACATGTTTATGCTGATCCTGCCGCCACCTGCTTTTTCATTTTTCGCGATGATAATACGTGGCCCGAAGCTTCGTTTGTAAACACCTTTGCTTGTTTTCACGATGCTCTGAATACATGCACGTTCAGAACATGTGGCAGGGTCCCCCGCCCCGGCCTCTGCTTCTCCATCTCAGAAACAAACTCTTAGGCGCGTTCTTCCGTCCTGTTTTTAAATCGTCGTCACACACACGATTTCCAGTCCTCGTCCCCATTCATGTCTCTTCATTCCCTCAGTTATACAACGTGACACTTCAAAGGTGAGACCATCACAAGGGGAGCAGTCAGGAAGCGGGAACCCCTGACATGGCGCTTCCACTTTAACCTCTCGGAGCACGTCCTCACGGGCTCCTCCCAGAACCTGAGCCCAGGTATCTGCAGAGTGGACCAGTCTGGGATGACGCACAGACAGCTGTGCAGCTGTCTGACCGCGGCCTGCTTCCCTCTGGCGCTGTGTGCTCCGGAGGCAGGGACGGCTATGTCCGCGTCTTCCACCCCAGCACGTAGTAGGCCTGCGATGAGAATGTTCTGAACGAATGAATGAGTTTTCGTACAATGCATAATGCTACCCCGCGGCCTGTTCTCTAACTCAGCACGCTGGCACCACTTTCCACATCTCCGTGTGGGACTCCCCATTTCTCATGTCTGCCCAGGACCACAGTAAACGGCTTTGTGATGCCGGCCGGAGCTGCTTCTGCCCGCAACTGGGGAGCTCTTCTTCAAACGCGGCTCTCTTAACAAATTCCATATGACCCACCCGCGCCCCAGCCCGTCAGCCATTTACTCCCAGCCCGACACTCGCTGGCTACATGGGCTCATTGTTTTCTGGGACAAGTCAAGATTGACGTCCCTGACATCATGTTTTTCCAGAGGAGCTTCCGAGTGAAGAACTCATCTCTCCCCACTGCCCCGTTCCCGCCAGCGAATCCTGGAGATCTGCTGAAGCTGGGAAATGGTGTAGCCTGGACCGTGGGTGTGGACACAGGGCACCCGCCCGGCTCGCTGCTCAGGGCCGCGGCACTGCTCTCGTCTCTGCCTGGAACACACATGCCTGGGATACTTGCTGAGCTCGCTCCCTTACCTGCTCAAAGGTCCCTGCTCAGGGAGGCGGCCCTCAACCACTTTTCCAAGTCACTTCTTCCCTTACGTCGCTTTATGAAGAAACGACCGCTACCTAGTGGCCCTGTGTGTCACGTTACACCGTGTTACCGTCACACGTGGGCTCTGACTTACAGTCCATCCCCCGCTGAGGGCGGGAACTTGGTCTATTCTCTCTCCTGTCCCTACAGTAGGGCCCGCTGCAGAAACAGCAATGGAATCCATCATTGCGAACTCCAGGATGCCAAGGTGTCTTCCCAGCCTGAGCCCAAATGCCCTCATTTATTCATTCACAATATATTTCCGGGGCACCCTCTGTGTGTGCCAGGGCCTGTCCGGGTGCAGGGGACAGAATGGTAGATGAGCCAGACACTCTCTCCTCTTGTGGTCACACCGACCCCAGGCCACGAGTCACGTGCACTTGCTGGCTTCAGATGCTGGTCTTTGGGTCCGCAGATGAGGGTCCTGGCTCTAACTCAGCCCCTGCAGCGCCGTGTAAACCCCAAGGGGGACACTCACGGGAAGGCACTGTTGTCGTTCTCTCCCCACTGTTCTCTTGCCGCACGTGGAGGAGAGATAAACAAGTGAGACGGACCCTTTCACATTCCTCCCGCAAGCCCAGTGGGACTTGGCCGTGAGCTGGTCTTTGCCCTGCCTCTGGCTGCCCGCGCCTCCCTACACCTAGAGAGAATTTCTTACCTTAGTAGCTCCTACTGCCCCAAGAGGAGGCCCCGAAGCTCGTTTTCCCAGCCTCCTCGGTGGCCTGGGCACAGTATGTGACTCGGCTTCACCAATCAGACGCACCCGCTAGGGCATCCAATTCCAAGGGTGGGATGAAGGAGGCCGTCGTGCACACGCGGCGTGATGGCAACTCTGTACTCCAACTTAAAACTGACAAAACTACCCCGAAGACAAAACTGCCAGAAATTGGTCTTTGCGGGTGATTCAAGCAGTTTCATTTTTTCTTTCTGTTCTCTATTTCACAAAATTTCAATCATTGAGCAAACTCGACTTCCCACTAGAAAGAATTCCCGTGCAGGTTACATAATCTCTGGAGCTTCAGTCCGTGCTGAGCAAGTCTGTCCTCGAGCGGGCCGAGACACCATGTGGGGCGAGAGGAGATGGATGACATTGTCTCTGTGTGGATGTCAGGAGCGTGGATGGAGAGAAGTCTAAAGAACCCAAAGAAAGTGACTAGGAACAGCAGGACCTGGGACTTAGGACAGGTTCAAGTCCCAGCTTTGCTGCCTACTAGCCCCGTGGCCGCAGGCGGACCATGGGCAGGGGCGAACATGTCCATTCCCATCCTGAGCAGCAACGTCCACCTTCCTGGCTGTGAAGACGACTAAGAGGGACTGGTTCACAGAGGGCAGCCTGTGCCCCGCTCTGCAAAGCACTCTCCAAAGCACAAGTTCTCAGCCAAGGGTGATTCTGCCCCCCAAGGGGACACTGGGTGGTGTCTGGAAACATTTGGTTGTCACAGCTGCGGGGAGGGCTGCTGGCACCTGATAGGGAGCAGCCAGGCCTGCTCTAACCGACCCACAGAGCACAGGACAGCCCCTACCACAGAGAGGGTCGGCAGTGCCAGGGCTGAGAACCCTGCTCAAAGAGCGCCCATGAGGCCTGTCCCGCGGTCATGCCCCGCCCATGAGGGCCAGGTCTGTGTGCAGACGGGAGTGTTCCTGCAGGACGGTCTGTGGGCAGAGGATTTGCCAGCCCCCTGCTCTGCAGGCTTAGACGCTGTAGCCTCCTGGCAGCCTGAGAGGCCTCGTCCAGCTGCCCTAGGAGGTTGAGAAGGTGTCTGTGCCCAGGGAAGTCCCAAGAAGTGCTCGCTCTGCTCTGCACGTGTGCACCCCAGCTCATCAGCCCTGCGAAATCCCCCAGGTAGGCGCTGCCATCACCATGTCAGATGAGAATCAGGCCCAGGGCAGTACAGGAGCCGGGTCCACGGCCCCAAAGCTAGTGCCTCTCCCAGACTTTGCTTCTTTGGCCTGGAGGGGAGGGCTTACCCTAGCGAGGCACCAAAGTTGCCTGGAGAATGTTGAAAATGCAGATTTCCAGCTGCCCTGCTGGCCCAGGAAGGTCAAGCTTAGTTCTGGAATCCAGCAGATCTCGGCTCAACTCTTGGCTCCTCCACCTCCTGGCTGTGTGACCTGGAGCCAGTGACTGCCTCGCTGGGCCTCGGGTCTGTCCTTTGAAAGCGGGCAGCCCTAGTCCCTGTCCGGAGAGGCCATGAGGATTTAGTGAAAGTCCTACCTCACAGGCTGAGCATGGAGCCTGACACACAGTAAGCACTCATTCAATGCTGGCTGTAGGGTCCAGCAGGTGGCGTGGTGGTGAAGGTGCTAGACTCACACATGGTCAAGCATAGTTCGAGTCCCAGACCAGGAAGCTTGCTTTCTTACTTTCCTTCTCTCTCTGGTGAGTGCAAATGCCCTATAGCAAACTAAAAAATAATAATAATAAATAAAATTAAATACACAATTATTTTTAAAAGTTGGCTCTTATTTTTATTTTTGGAGCAGGACTTAGGCACCTGTGTGTGTGTGTGTGTGTGTGTGTGTGTGTGTGTGTCTAAACTCCTTAACGATTGCAGTATGCCTTGCTACCCCTCCACCCACCCATCTATTTATTTGACACATTTACTTAATGGAAACTCTGTGCCTGGATGGGCATTAAAACCTGAGGATGCAGAAGTGGTCGAGTACAGACCCCACTGCCCAGAAAGCTGACAGTATCAGGGTAGAACAGACTAGCGAGATAAATGTGCACCCATATTATATAAGGTCATGTGACACGAACAGCTGGAAACAAACAGGCTAGTGCATGGAGCTCCCCTTCCAGACAGGTGGGAGGCCGATGTTTTCCACTGGCCCCGAGGAACTCTCCTGCCCCCTCTCCCTGTGGGGCAGCATCAACCCTCAGCCCCCATGCCTCCCCAGGGCAGACGCCAGGAAACATCGTTTTTAGACCCTCTGGCAGCTTAGGTCTGGCGTGAAGGCTGTGCTTAAGAAATAGCACAGGACCACACTGTCCCGAATGTGCCCATCTGGTCAGTCTCAGGAGCTGGGCAGGGCCGGGCCTGGCTAGTGTTTGGATGGAGAAACAGCAAGGGGGCCTGGGACAGAGGGAGGTTGAGACACGGCAACAGGCGCAGAGAAGCCCAAAGTGGGACCTGGGAAGATCAATTCCTCAGTTCGAGCTCTTCTGTACACGTCCCTCACCGCAGAAGGGTGGCACTGAGTTGAAACGAGAAACAGAGAAGTTGGGAAGCTCAGCCACGGTCACACAGTAAGCCAGCAGCAGGACACATGCAGGGCCACGCAGTCACCTACTGTAACCCAGGCCTGGGCTCAGCGTTTCCTAAGCGTGGCTTTGCTGGAGGTTTGCAACCACCTCGAGAAGCAGGATGAGCACATGGGGTTCACAGAAGTCAGGCTACTTGCCTGAGGTCACATAGAAAAGGGACCGAGTTCAAACCTACTGTGTTCGTCTCTAGAAACTTTGCTCTTGGAATATACCCCAATAAGAAGACCCAAGCACGTGTGACTTGGACCAAACCCCTGAGCAACCAGGGCAAAGTGGCCATGTCTGAAATGCCTTCCTACTTCCTGAACAAGCCCAGGTCTGCAGCGACAGGGGAGTCTTGGTCTGTATCACATACACCCTGCAAGAAAGCATGGCAGGCTTCCAAGGAAGCACAGGGACTCTCATTCTTTCCCTCTAAATAGCCCTCGCGTGAAAACCTCAGCTGAACCATTCTCTGGCCTCGTTTTAGCTGTTCTAACATAACCTTAGCTCTTCTACAATGATGGCCTTTTCTTTTTTTCTTCCCTTTTTGTCATCTGGTGGAGTGGCAGCAATGTTTCCCACACTCACTACCTAGACTCCAGCATTTATCTGTCCAAACTTCTACACATCCATACTTCCATTCACTGTCTTGTTCACCCACTCTGTCCAACCTTGCATTCATTCCTTCATTGATCCATCTGTTCAGACTCTATCCATCCACCTACTCATCCACCCATCCACCCATCCACCGCCTATCCATGTTCTCACCTAGCCATTCACCCACCCATCCATCTATCCATCCATCCATCCAACCAGCCACTCAGCCATCTGCCCACCATCCACCCACCCACCCATCCATCCATTCAGCAGTTCATCCATCCATTCACCCATCCATCCATCCACCCACCCAACCATCCATTCATCCACCCACCCACCCATCCATCCATCCACCCACCCATTCATCCACTCACCCATTCATCCAACCATCAATCCATCCACATACCCATCCATCCATCCATCCATCCACATATTCATCCATCCACTCACCCATCCATCCACCCACCCCATCCACCCACCCATCCATCCATCATTCATCCACTCATCCATCCATCCATTCAATACACACTTCCCAAGCATCTCCTTGTGCCATGTCCTATGCTAGATTCAGAGGAATTAGAAACAAATATGGTTTGGTTCTTGACTTCTCAGAGCCCTCAGTCCCGTGGGAGAGGCAGATGTGATGGACAGCAGGAAGGAAGGGCTTCTTCATCCATTCAGTTTACGATTTCCATGGTGTCAAGCAGTATCAGACCCTGGGAGCAAAGATGAGGCAGACAAGGTCCTTGGGCCCTACTCTTGTTGGAGGGACAGGCATTAGTATGAACCAAGACAGGGCCTAGACCCCATGGGCCTCCCAGAACACACTAGGAGCTCAAGTTCCTGCCTGTAATCTGGGCAGGCTGAGGGTAGGGATGGATCGTGGCACCAGGACCGTCTTTCTCTCTGTTTCAGAGGAAATAAATACAATTATGTAGACAGAGATGATAGAGATATAAGAATGAGCCCAGCAGGGAGTGCTCACTCAGTAATCCCTTCTTGCACTCAGCGCTGTGTGCTGATACCGCTCACAGGCCAGACCTGGGCTCTGGGGACACTGAGCTAGAACATACTTGGCCTTACCCACTGGAAGCAGGGTCCGGTGGAGGAAAGAATCCAGTGAGAATTTCAGGCAGCAATGACGTGAGCTACCACCAGGGTGACAATAGCATCCATGGAAGCAGGAGGGGCTGAGGAAGCTTCTGGGGTTGGGGGAGCCGGAACTGAGTCTGAAGGACGAGGAGGGTTCTGCTTACTCAGCCTCCCCTGCCCAAAGGCCTTTTCTCCTCCCTTCCTGCAGTTCGTGAAGGTCAAACTCAGGGCCCCCAAGTCACTCCTCCCATCCAGCCAGCCATCCCCTTAGTGGGTTAGGTAGAGGCTGAGCAGCCAGGGCTCAAACCTTGTCTCAGGGCCAGGCCCCGGGCAGCTGGCCACTGGACCTTGGAGACCGTCCCGCAGTGGCCGAAGTGACATTGAGGATGTTTGTGCAAACATGCTCCATTTTTCTAGGCCATCTTGTTCACAGGAAAACAGCCCTGCAGATATGACTTACGGTGGGCTGCGGAAGAGGCGCCTCAGAACATCAGCACGCCGGCGCCCTGGGGACACTGCATGAGCAGGGTGAGGAGGACAGAGGCTGGAGGTGGGGTCGGGGCCCCTCCCACTGAGCCTCATGGGCTGTGACAAAAACATGGGCCTTCCCTTGGAGAGCACTGGGAGGGGTTTGAGCTGGGTTCAAGTGGGTTAAAAAGAAACGATTCAGAATCTCCAGGTGGCTAGTGACGAACTCATCTGCTCATTCACTCGTTCATCCCCTCATTCATGCAGCCAGTATTTGACTGACCTACTCTGTGCCAGGCACTGTTCCAGACACCGGGACGGCAGGACAGATGTAACAGATACTGCCTTCCTGGGACCCTAAATCAAGTAATTACATGACGAAATGCAAACTGGGATCAGAGCTTCCAGGAAGCCTTCTCCAAGGCAGTGGCACACGGCTGCTGGTTTAACGTCTTGTGCAACCAACATTTATTGAGCGCCTACTATGTGCTAGGCCCTATACTGGGTGATGGGATACAGTGTGAACAAGACAGGCCCAGTCCCTGTCCTCAAGGAGCTGGCAGCCCAGTGGTGGGCAAACGTAGAAATGAAAGCAGCGTGTCAGGTGTGATCAGGGCACATAATGGGGCTGGAGGGGTATGAAGGGCTTCCTGGAGGAAGAGGGGAGTTGGTTAGGGGAGAGGTCATGCATGGAAGCAGAGAGGAGGCAGTTTCTAGTGACCCACTGGACTGGCGAGCTTGGGTGGGGGTTGTTGAGGGGAGATGCTGTCGCCTTGGGAGACGGTCAGACCCCCTTGGAAGGCGGCCCCAGGCTGCAGGCTGCGTTCAAGGTAGCTTTGGAGCACAGAGGGTGTCTCCAGGGAGCTCTCTCTCTTTCTTCCCCTCCCTTTGTCTCTCCATCTCTCCTGTGTCTCTGCCAGTCTCAGATCCTCTCATTGTCTCTGCCAGCCTCCCAGTGTCTCCCTCTGACTCTCTCTGCTCTGGTCATCTCCACGAGATGTCAACAGGAGACAAGGACACTGGGAAAAACCCGGGGCGGTGGGCGGGAAGCGAGGTCGGGGCACAGGACAGCTGAGCACAGGGACAGGTGCTGACCGAATGTTCTGTTTGGAAAGACAGCTCTGGTCAGGGCCGAAGGTGGCTGACCACAAAACCTGATCACCGGCCAAGCTCTGCTCGAGCTGGCCCTCTGGCCAGCAGGCCGGGATCCAGTGGCCACTCCATGGAACCTTCTCGGAGGGCGGGGAGATGGGAAATGGCCCAGGGCTCCTCATCCCTAGGCGAGTGGGACCAATGGGATGGAATGGAAGCCGGCAACCCTCCAGGGAGACCTCGGGGTGGTGTAGATTCGGAACGCCTGCTGGTCTCCACACTTTCCACGACTTTGGTCATTTGGCCCAAGGTGCTAACTAGGCGGAGGAGAGGGGATGAACGTACACTTTACAGGCGGAGAAAACAGGTCTCGAGGAAGTTCGTTTCTTCTTCCTGTAAACCCGGCAGCCCCCAGGATGCCCACGACAAGCTGGGGCCTCGGCTCTTCCTGTCCTGGAAGACAGCGGGAGAAAGGTGGAGATGGGCCGAGCTCTCTTGAAGCTTTCACCCTGCACCCCGACAAGGCCCTCTGATGAGGTGCTCTCGTCCCAGCCCACAGAGGTGGAAGTGGAGGTGCAGAGAGGTGGAATCCCGCCTGCTAGCTGCGTGACCCTGGGCAGGCGACCTATCCCCCTGAGCCTTCGTTTCTCCACTGGTGACATAGATGTCCCAGTAGCCCCCGCGTCGTGACCTGTTGTGATGGCCGGAGGAGGAAACCCACGCAAAGGGCTAGGGTCCTTCCAGGTGCACGCCAAGGTCTGTGGGAATGCTTGTCGCTCCCGGGACTCCAGGGGAGAAGGGACCTGGTGGCCCCTGCCCATGTTACAAGGAGCCAGGGATGGGATGGGGGATGCAAGAGGGACTCTGGTGTGAGCAGCCGGGGACTTCAGAAGCAAGGTCTGCCCAGGAGTGGCCTCCATGCAGGTCCCCAGGGCCCCGGCCTGGGGAGGGGCTGCCGCACTCCCCCCTGTGGGAGCTCAGCGCAGTGCTTGGGGTCTCCCAGGTGGAAGCTCAGACCTACCAGGGGCTCGGCCCCGGAACTTGGAGTCATCTGGAATTCTGGGTTTCGGCCCGCTTGCTCCAGTAGGGTCGGTGTCAGCCCCATCTTCAGACCCAGAATCTCCCACCCTCCACCTCCACGGCCGCCCTGGGGCCACTGCAGTGACCTCCTGCCCGTTGTCCCCTCTCCGCCACACACGTCACAGTCTATCTTCCACACACAACCAGGATTCTTCCAGAATCCGTCAGTCATTCTTCTCAGAACCCTCCATGGCTCCCACCCACCCTGGAGAAAAGCTCAAGTCTTTCCTACACTGGCCCTTTGCCTCCCATGCTGACCTCACTTCCTCCCATGCTGACCTCACTTCCTCCCATGCTGACCTCACTTCCTCCCACACTGACCTCACTTCCTCCCATGCTGGCCTCACTTCCTCCCACACTGACCTCACTTCCTCCCACGCTGCCCACTCACTCGCTCTGTCTCAGCACACTGGCCTTCCTGTGGTCATCCTCGCACAGGCCAGCCCAGGCCAGCCTCGGGGCCTTTGCACTTTCGCAGATCACACAGCGTTCACTCTGTCCTAACATACACGGATGACAGACGGGCATGAGTTACCTGTGCTGTTGTCCCCCTATCCACCGGGCTTTGTTCAAGACCCCGAATGGACGCCTGAGAGTGTGGTGTCCTGCATGCACCGGGCCTTTCCCTATGCAGGTGCAGCTTCGCTAACGTCCACGAATCACACACACAGGAGATCTGCAGTAACTAACAGAGCCAGACCACGGCGTGGTGATTACGGCGCTGGATCCCACGTGGCCGCTACACAGTTCGAGTTCCAGATCTGGCAACGTAAAAACACATGCCAGGCAGGGTCAGGAGGTGGCATGGTGGCTGAGGTGCTGGACTCCCACGTGGTTGACTGCAGATCGAGTCCTGTACCCAACAACTTGAAAATCACTCCAGGCACATGTGTATGCATGCCCCAAATCCCTAGAGGAGAAGAGAAGGGATTGCAGGGAGGCCATCTCCTCGAAGGCTGATTTCTCACTTTCCCTTTCTCTGTGTCTCTCTGTTTCTCTCTCTTCAGCTAGTACACATATCTTTGGCAAAAACCTAAAAGCAAAACAAAACAAAACAAAATGCCAGGCACGTGTGCATGCATGCCCAGAATCCCGGGAGGAGAGTAGAGATGGAGGGGAAGGGTTTCTCACTTTCCCCCTCTCTCTGTCTCTCTCCAACAAGTACAGGCACCACATGGCAAATTAAAAAGCTAATAATAAAGTAGAGCCATCATAACATTCTGCAGTGTGAGCTACAAGGATGTTCTCTCTCCCTCTCTAACACACAGGACTGGACCTCAGTCAGCAGGGAGTAACTGAAGCGGATATGGAGGTTCCTGTCCTGTCTTCAGTGCTGGTGGAGTAGATTCTGTCGGGGAGAGAGTGCAAGCAAAGCTGGAGACCAGGAAGGAGGCCCGGGTCCGTGGAAGCACGGGGTTGCCACCGATTGAGACAGGCGGCCTGTGGGAGGGCAGGTTTCGGTTCTGCAGCTCAGGGGCGCTGTCTCACAGTGCTTGTGAAGGCCCCGACACTGTTCCAGGGCCTCGGGATGCAGCGAAAGGAGAGCCCCTGACGTCTCATTGCTGTTGTCACATGGTTTGAATACCAGCCTTGCAGTGGACTTACCGGGAAGGTCCGAGCCAATGCCATCAGGCTGCCTGCCTCAGTTTCCCCATCTGTAAGTGGGCTGGCCATCCCTCCCTCCCCAGGCCACTGTGAGGCTCCCTTGAGTAAGGCGCCAATCAGAGCTCATTCCTGTCCTGCCCAGCCCTGTGCCAGCTGGCCCCAGGGGACTTTGCTGGAAGTGTTATTTTTAAACATGGCTCCAGCGGGCGAGGCAGCAGCTCTGAAGGCCATGGCGAGACCACAGCCCTAGCAACATCCCGGCTTTCTCCATGCCAGGAGACCACAGCATGGAAACATCAGGGGAGGCTACTTGTTGTCCACATCCCGCCTGATGACCCTGTATGTGAAATTATGTCATGTCACCTGATGGTGTTTATGAACGTGTGCTGACCTTTCCCAGCTGGGCCACGGGGGAGGCTGCAGCCCAGACTCCCTACCCTGGGCACTGCTGGCGACCCTCCCCTCGGCCCACCTGCATACCGGGCCCGGGCTCCACTCCCG